AAATCAAAAAATAATATAATGCAATTTCTCATTCTATCATTTATACCGTTATACACGTGAAAAATAATCATCAATTTATCATATACATAATTAATGATATTTATGAAAACTTTTACACTATAAATTTAACAATTTTTATTCAAATCAAAATTTTACATACATTTGCAAATTTATTATTTAATTATTATTATCATTATCATCATCATCATCATCATCATTTATATCTTTTTGTAATGTATAAAATATTAGAAACAAAAAAAGAAGAAAATTGTGTATATGTAAAACCATCAATAAACAAATATGTTACATAAATTATATATTGTATAGAGCAACCCCAATATACCGGGTGGTCGGATGAATAAAGGAAAGAAAGTAGAAAGGAATAGAAATAGAGAAAGAAAGAGACAAAAGTATATAATGCACACGTTCACGTTTCACTTCCGTTACTTTTACACGCGATTTCTTCTATGTGGGCGTATATATATATATATAGAAAATGAAAAAAACCAAAGGAGGAGAGGAGGAGAAGAAGAAGAAGAAGAAGAAGAAGAAGAAGAGTTTTGTCCGGAAATCCCATCGTCGAAAATAACTGCTCTTTGGCTTTTCTCTACCACCAACGACTGCTTGCTTTCTGGCTAACGCGTTTTCTTTCTAACGAAACTCTCTTTTATCCTTTATGATACTTTTTCTCAAAACATTCTATAGATTTTCTCGTAATTCTAATATTATACATATGTTATAGGTATAATATTAATAATAATATAATATTAATATGTATAGGTATATTATATAATATATAAATATTTTATATAAATTTTATAATATTTAAATTTTTAAATATTATAAAATTTATCAATATTTATATAAATAATATGATATAACCTAAATAACCTATAATATAACCAATATAACCTATATAAATTAAAATAACATAAATTATTATTATAATATTATATTAAATTATATATATTATGTAAATTATGATATATATATATAAGAAAACAAAAAGATAGATCAATTAGAAAAGTTATTTTTGATAAAATAGAAATTTGATAAGAAATTAAAGTTATCTTTTAATATATTATATTTAATATTATTATAGGTTATATTATCAGATATTTTCTATTACTATATTTTAATAATAATATATTATTAAAATATATTGTTTTGACATTAAGTTCTACTGTCATATTTATTATTAATCAGTTACTATTATCATTGAGAAAAATCATTAATAGTATTCATGAGAAATAATGAAAGAAAATTAACTTACAAAAATAAGGGAGTGGGTTCATTACCAAATGTATCATTCTGAAAATAAGACAAAGATATATATATAATTAAATATATATTAAATATTATAAATATATTATTATTATTATATTATAAATATCATTTATATAATATATATAATATTTATATAATAATAATAATAATAATTTATAATGTTATTTTAATTTATAAAGGTTACATTGGTTATATTATAGATTATATAGGTTATATTGGTTATATTATAGATTATATAGGTTATATATATATATATATATATATATATATATATATATATATATAATATATATATATATATTGCAAATATGTATATTGCATTATATTATTATACTATTGCAATATATATATATTATATATATCAATTAGAAAAATTATTAATAATAATATAAATTTTGCAAAAAAAAAAAAAGACTAAAGTTCTCTTTATTCGTAGATTATGTAAAAAATTCATTGATACAGATGATATCAAAAATGATATAACGCTAATCTTAATATAAAAATAAAAAAAAATTATCAAAAGATATTAATCACAAAAAAAAGATACAAGCAAACAAACATTATTGATAAGAGACAAAGAATAATAATCACTAATACTATTAATGAGAAATAATGAAACAAATTTAATTCACAATGAGACAAGGGGGGAAGGGATTGGTGGTAGAGAAAACAAAAATAAAGTAAAAATAATAAATGTATTATTTCAAAAATAAGAAAGGAAAGAGAAAGAGAGAGAAGAGAAAGTGTCAGAAATATTATAAAAAATTATCAAAATTATTCTTAAGGATAATAAAATTAATCTTTAATATCAAGTGTAAATTATATTATATCAACAAATATTATACTAAACTATTACATATTATAAATTAGGTCATTAAATATGAAATGTCTGATTTCGAGATAAAAATAATCCGAGTAATCAGACATTTCATAATTAATAACCTAATATATATATATATATATTATATTATATATTATATATTACAAATTATTAAATATTAATAAAATAAAATATCACAAAATAAGATAAGATACAGCAAACAGATATTATTGATAAAACAAAAATAGTCACTAATTTGACTATTTTTCATCTATTGAAATAAGAAATAATGAAACAAATTTAATTCATAAAGACAAGAGAGAGAGAGAGAGAGAGAGAGAGAGGTGGGTGGTAAAGAATAAGAAAAGAATTAAGTAAAAAAAGTAAATGTGTATCATTTCAAGAATAAGGAAGAGATATATATATATATATATATATATATATATAGAGAGAGAGAGAGAGAGAACAGAGAACACAGGTTTGACTTGCACACTAGTCGGTCAGAGTCACAGTCATGGTCACGCTTCAAGGGTTGAACACTCTGCATATATATATATATATAATACATATATATAAAACACTGTTGGTATTATAGTATACGGTGAGAGAAGAGAGTTCACCGGCGCGTAGAGAGGATACAACACCCAAACCCAGAGAGTGCTGCTGCTGGTGCTGCTTCGAGTACGAGTTTAGTGTGTGGTGTGTGTTTGTATGTGTGTGTGTGTGTGCGTCCCATCCATTGATTCCCCTACTCTCTTTCATATTTCTTTCTCTCTTTATCTTGATCGTTTTTTTTTTAATTTTTATTTTCTTTCTTTCTCTTTCTCTCTTTCTGTTCACTCACTCGTTCACTCCCTCACTCACTCACTCACTCACTCGTTCGTTTGTTCATTTTTCATCTCTCTTTCTCTCTCTCTCTCTCTTACACTAACTCATACTCTCTAACACTATCTCACACTCTAGTGAATTATTTTTCTGTATAATACGGGACGACGAGTTCATACAAGGCCCTACTACTCGTCCCTCGTCTAACCAAACTCGTGTCAGTCAGTGTAACACCATCTTGCCGAGCTGGTGCACGCACGTATCACACATCGTGTATTTCTTACCAAATTATTTCATTCATTGATTATTTATTATTACTTTCTTTTATTTGTTTACAATATTGAAAGAGATAGATAGATAGATAGATAGATAGATAGATAGATAGATAGATAGATAGATATAACAGATAATATAATTCATTCAATTTATTTATTACATCTATATGTGTGTTGTTTAGGTGTATATTTATACAGTTTATATATATATATATACATATATATATGTATACCTGGGATGGATATGTGAAGAAGGAAGGATAAATAAGTGGTGTGTGAAATTTAACATTTATCAAGATAATTTGATCCAATTTGTAATAGTGAGGGAAAAAAAGAAGATAATATATTAAGTTTATTTATATTCAACATCAACACATACATAACCAACAAACGTGTTATCAAGTTTTACATATCGCATAGTTTATATATATATATATATATATATATATATATGTATGTATGTATGTATGTGTGTCTACAAACGAATAGGACAGGAGGAACGATGATACTCCTTTGATCTGAGATTATATATTTATTGATAAAAATCAAAATTATATAACAACCAACAAGAGTAATAATAATCATAATAATAATAATAATAATAATAATAATAATAATAATAATAATAATAATAATAATAATAATAATAATAATCATAGTGAAAAATTTGAAGAACCATGAAGAAAGATTATAAATGTCATTCAACAATAACAATACAACAACAACAACAACATTGATAGTGTGGCTTACGAGATATATTTTATAAACAATAATTTAAACATTACAACACTGTTAACTGCTGTTTATTTACAACAATTAACTGACCATTGACTTGAGTAGTCAACAACGAATTGCATAATAATAATAATATAATAATAATAAATACTTATAAAGTACTTTTATTTATTTTTTTATTTTTTCACGATAAATAAGGTTTGTTATTTTCAAATATACAGCAAAAAAAGAAGAAGAAAAATAAAAACATATCATCATCATCATCATCATCATCATCATCCAACATGGTCGCGAAGTTTAACAGAGGAACCCAGAAAAAGAATGAAAAACAGATGAAAAAAAGAGAAAAAAAGAAAGAAAAAAAAGGAAAGAAAGAAAGGGAGATAAAAAATCTTTCTTTTTTATCCAAGAGGAAGCTGCAAGAGACGAAGAAGAAGAAGAAGAGGGTGCTCTTTCGAGAATATAGGAACCGGTGTGCGCAGTGTAATACTGCCGCTGCTGCTGCTTTTTGGAGAGGGGGAAACAGTGACCAATGAGAAAGAGAGAGACAGATAATGAGTGGGGGAAACAGAGACCAATGAGAAAGAGAGAGACATATAAAGAGTGGGGGGGACAGAGATTAATGAAAAAGAGTGAGAGAGAGAGAGAGCTCGCTAACGGAATGAAGTGGGGGTGGTGGTGGGGGGTATATGGAAGAGAAGAAGAAAGAGGGGGGAAGGCTGGTGGTTGCCTGGCGACGAGCCATCTAGTTCGATCCCAGCATCCCGAACAACCACCCTCCTCTCCCCTCAGCCCTCGGCAACCCTTGCAACTGCTCTGCCTCTTGCCTCTTCCCTCCCTCCCCCCCATTTATTCCTCTCTCATCCGCCTCCGCCTCCGCCTCCGCCTTTGCCCACTATGTTTCTCTCTCTCTCTCTCTCTGTCTCTGTTTCTGTCTCTCTTTTTCTCTCTTTCTCTCTCTGCCTTCTGCCTACAATTCTGATTCGAACTGCTGACTCTCTTGCTGCTCCCAGGATCCCAAGGAGTATCTTGGACTATCTCGTCTCGTTGTTGCTTTCCTTTCGATTATTATAATTATTATTATTATTATTATTATTATTATAATTGTTGTTTGTTGTTGTTATTGTTGTTAACGTTACACTACTGTTGCTGCTAACTGCTGTTAACTACTGTTATTACTGTTACTACTGTTGTTGTTGTTAAATCATTATTTTCTTCATCGACAATATCGTTACATTGATTATTTATTTATTTATTATTATTGTTATTGTTATATTTTCTGATCGGGGTGGTTATATTAATTATATTAATGTTAGAATCACGTCGGATATAATAACAGTGTTTTAAATAATAATAATAATATTATATATATTATATATATATAATATTATATATATATATATTATAAATATAATATTATTATTATTATTAGTATTAATATTAATATTAGTATTATATTTTCTAATAGGGGTGGTTTTGAATATTAGAATTACGTCGGATATAAAAACAGTGTTTCAAATAATTTTTTAGCTAGTTCAGCTATTTATTTATTTATTTATTTATTTTTACTTCTATATATCTATCTATATTTATCTATCTTTCCTTTTCTTATACAAGAATCAAGAAGGTGTGTGTATCTTATTGTTGATGGATATGGATCTTCATGGATGCTGGATAATATTATCTAAAGAAGAAAAATCTTAAGAGAAGAGGACAATCTATATATATATATATATTACTACCACTTAATTTATTCAAGGATTATCTCATCATTATCCTTTGGAAATTGATTATAAGAAACTTTTTCTATCACATAAACAATTATATAATATCTACATATATACATATGTATATGTATGTGTAACAAAATGTATAATTGTTCAACATTTTGGGAAGATCGTCATTGTTGTTTCATCGAACATCGAGCAAGATTTTACAACAAAATGTGAAAGTTACGTGTGATTTATATTTATTGATAGCTTTTTGAGCTATCAATCATCTTCATCTTCATCTTCTTCTTTATCTTCATCTTCATCATCATCATCTTCTTCTGATTTTTCTATCTTTCATTATTTCCTATTTTATTATTATTTTTTGTTTTTATTAATGTGCAAATGATTTACTCTTCTATATGGAAGAAATGATAAAATTGGTGTTATTGTGAAAAGTGCAACAATTAATAATATGCAATAAATAATTAACGAAGAAGAGAGAGATCACCATTTTCTTTTCTCTACCAATACAACGAGAACAAAACGAAAGAAGAAGGGGAAAAAAAAAAGGAACGAAAGCTTGAAATCGTTTTGAAGAACAAATTCACACAAATTACAAAAAAAAAAAAATAAAATAATATTCCATATATATATCTTCTCTTTCTCTACAAAAAAAAAAAAAAAGAAAAAAAAAACCATCCAACATGTTCCAGTGCATCATACAACAAAGGAACGGATGGATTCATCCTTACAGTCCAGACACCAAGGATGTTTTCCCAGGTATATTAAAATATATACTATCCAGAGGAAAATTTTATTTTATTATTATTATTATTATTATTTGTTTGTTTGTTTGTTTGTTATTTTAATCTAACGGTTAAAAAAATAATTGGGATGAAAGCAACAATTGTTTTTGATTTCTTTTTGATTTTTAGAAATGGGGTGGGAGTAACGCTGGTGGTAGTGGTGGTGGGGGGGGGGAGGAATCAATGATTCATTTTCTTATCTTATTGTGTAAAATTAAAGAGAAAAAAAAAATACTTAATTAAAAGTAATGACGACTACTAAGACGACAAATTGATTGAAAATTTGAAAATCATCCAAAATTCATTTTGGCTTACACCACCATTCACACATTTATACAGAATGAATTTATTTATATATCAAAAAAAGAAAAACGTATGATGAAGAAGCTTTTCACATACACACACACACATATACACGTATATAAAAATACAACACACATTTTTATATGTCCATTAATGTCAAATACAAACAAAGTTTATGAATGAATGAAATTATTCTTTTCCCTTTTTTTCATTCATTTTTTTACTTCACTCTGTTTTACCGACCGATATCAAGAAAAAAGTAACCTGTGGTGTAGTTTTAACTTGTTCGTATACGACGCAATGCACACATACATACACACGAGAGAGAGAGAGAGAGAGAGAGAGAGAGAGAGAGGGAATGTGCAATTGAAACGGGACAGGAAGTCTCTTTCAATAATTTCGTCCCGAGGTCTCTTTTTGCGTGGGTGAGATTAATAATGCGAAATGATAGGTGTTAGATTTCTCTCTCTCATGTCGAGGTCATGAAAAGATAGATAGACAGACAGACAGACAGATAGACAGGTTTAGAGAGAATCAAATGATCTACTTGCGTTGGAATTTATACGCATAATTACTACTGTTATACTATTGCAAAACTACTTTTCTCTTTTCTAACCTAAAACTAAGATCTACTAAAGTTACTCTAGCAAATTCATTACGTTTAAATATATATATATTTATATGATGCATGCATGCGTGTATGAATGTATGAATGTATGAATGTATGAATGTATGAATCTTTATATAATTACTACTGTTATACTATTACAAATCTACTTTTCTCTTTTCTAACCTAAAACTAAGATCTACTAAAATTACTCTAGCAAATTCATTACGTTTAAATATATATATATATATTTTTTTTGTATGCATGTATGCATGTATGAATGATTGAATCTTTATATATAAAAATTCAGTGTCACAATATGTTCGTCCATTAATAATTTTGAAACTATTTAACCTAACTTAATGAAATTTTTGTTGATTTTGTGTGATTTTGTCCAACTTAGAATATAGGATAGTTTTTATCGAGATTATTTTGTATTTTTGATTGTTAATTTAAAGATTTATTATTTAAAGGTTGTCTAAGTTTTAGGTACTGTATATTTTCAATAGATGGCACTGTATTGCAATCTCAATTATTTTAGATTTACATATGACATAACCTAACCTTGCTTTTTATATTTTTTTTCGTGTATTTTTATTCCATTGTACTTGTTATATATAATTTACTAAATAGTTTAGAATTATATATTAAATCAACATTTTATAACAAAACAAAATGTATGTATGAATGTATGTATAATGTGTGTGTGTGTGTGTGTGTGTGTGTGTGTGTGTGTGTGTGTGTGCACACGTATATGTATGTGTGTATGTGCTATTAATAGTTTTCACGAATGTCACGTCTCTCTGACGTAACACAATGTTGAGAACTATAATCAACTCTCTGCCTAATCTAAGTTCATTCTAATCGACCCAATCAGAAAATGAGGATGAATTATGTTAAAGTTTAAAATACGATTTATGACGAATTTTCTTCAATTCTTTTTTTTTTTTTCTACAGGGTGAATCAAATAATTCTCTATTTTTCTCTTGAGAGACCTCGAAGTCTTTTAGAAATTTGATCTAACGTGTCTTAACCCTGAAAATGGTATCCCCTTTTCTTCAACTTATTTTTATACGTATGAAACAATACGTATAACAACAATACGTGTATACAACAGATGAAAAAAAAAAAAAATAATACAATAAACATAAAATAATAAAATTGCATTTTTCTTTGTTCTAAAATACAGTATTTTAAATACTGTACGTAAAAAAAAAAAATACAATACAAAATTCAAAAATTATTTTACTAATTAAATTAAAAATAATTTACTTTAACACAAGATATATACCACCATTTTCAGTTTACCTATTTTTACCACACTAGTCAAAATGACTAGTGTAAAAAAAAAAATGCTTTTTGAAGCTTCCAGTTTTTATTTACTCTTAAAAAATAACAAAAAATATTTCACAATAATAATTTTTAAATAACAAAACGTTTAATTATTTACAGAAATCAAATGTTACATAAAGTAGAAATTTTGAATTAAAATGGCGTCAACCAGTCAAAATGACTGGGTCTGGTATATATTTAGTGTTAATTTAAAAAAAAAATTACTAAATTAATATTATTAATTAATTATTTTAGTAATTAAAAATTAAAAATTACTTAACTAAGAAAGAAAAGAAAAAAAAATCAAAATAAAATAAAATAAAAATTCAAAAATGATTTCACTAATTAAATTAAAAATAATTATTTACTTTAATTTAAAAACAAAAAATTACTAAATTAATATTAACAATTAATTACTTTAATAATTAATAAGTAAAAAATTACTGTATTAATAAAAAATTTGTAAAAATAATAAAATAATAATTCAAATATTATTTTACTAATAAAATTACAAATTAATAACTTTAATAATTAAAAATTATGAAAATATCCGTATATATCTAGTGTTAAAATATACCCAACTAAAAGTGTTGTGTGGTATGTATGTGTTTGTGTGTTAGTAAAATACTCTTTTTCCCTTCGATTCGCGCAGGAAGGAAGTCGATAGAGAAACAACATACGGTGTGTCGTGTGGTGTTGCATATCAATTGAACGAGGTAGATCGTCAAGGTATGCTTTTTAACAATCAACGTAGGATAATTTTTTAACAACCCGGTATATGATATTAATTATGGCGTACGCCATTAGAAAAATCATTTCAAGAGAATTCAATGCGTGTTAAGGAATGGTTTTTTTTTTCTTTCATTGTTTTCTTTTTTTTTCTTTTATAAAATGCACCTTCGAAAGAGAATTTATTTATTATTAAATTATATTTAATAATTATACTCATATTATTATTAATATAGTTGCATATTTTTTTTATATATTAACACTATGACGTCCGGTGGCTCCATGTTGGTGCCATGCCAAAATTATCGGATAAGTTCCGGTGGCTTCACGTTGGTGCCATTCGGAAATTATTTAGATTAGATGTGCGGACGGCATAGTATTATTATTATTATTTATTATTTTTTAAATTTACTAAACATTTGTTATATTTAAAAAACAAACAAACAAACAAACAATCATCAATAAGTAACGTGAGAAAAATATACTTTACATTATTCATGTAATTTGTTTAACGAAACGATAACTCATCATATTACATTAGCATAAATGTTATTCAATGATTTTCCATTGACGATAAGTTAGATCAAGCAGTGGTGCTCAACCTAGTTTTCTTAGTTAGGTTTTCATAAAAATCACACCAACCAAAACAAACAAAAATACAATAATATGCATATTTTAATGCCTTGAAATATAAATTGTCTTCACAAAAAAAGGGTAGGGGTAGTAGGGGGGAGGGGAGGGGAATGCTACGAAGTGAGGAACAAGCGACAACTCCATTTTTTAGTTAATTAAAAAATAAAAAATAAAATAAATTTATGACTGGTGGGAACGGTGGGGTGGGGTGGGGGGAAGTATCTGATGATGAGCCGCATGCGATTCGTGGGGGGCCCACAAAGTTGATTACAACAGCTGCTGACTGCTACGTCAGATTGTGCAATGAGTTCTCTCATGCACAGTTTGTTGCTTTTTATTTATTAATAACAAAATTAAAAAAAAAAAAAAATAAATAAAGAAAATAACGCCTTATGAACTTATTGAACAATCTGATATATAAAAGAGAGATAGAACAAAAATAGAAATAAGTGCATCAAGTTGAATACTATTACGAGTTATGTCAAGTTAGTTCAATAAGTTAATGCAATTCTATTCTTATTTTAAAAAAAGAACATTGTATGAACTTGTTAGACAATGTAATAGATA